CTAAGGGGACCACTGACATACACTTTTCTTTTCATTCTTAAGATTGATGTGTTTTAATGAAGATAATGGAGTCCATTAAAGTCTACTTTGTTTTTAAGATAAATTGGGCACCACCTCTTCTACAATAGGGTTGGGGGTATTGTATGTAATGGAGTACATATATTAGTGTGACTTGACATTCCATCTGGTCCAAACTCTCAAGTGGGATTTTGAAAATGAACTTCACAGTAGAAATTAGTTAATTTCGGATTCTTAACCAATGTAAGTACTAATCATACACGTATCAACTCTAACTTAACGCACACCACTCAATTGTTATACGAGATTTGAATATCATCTGAACTTGGTCAAAATATTAGTAAGTTGTTTTTACCTGTGAGAAATTGAAAGTTCGATCTTTTACTTTGAAATGTGTGAAAGTATTATTAAATTATAATTTTTTATGACATATAATTACTATGAGTGTGTATATGGTACGGTTTTGTGGATATTTATATATATATAGAGAGAGAGAGAGAGAGATAGTGGGGTAAAATTAGTTAATTTTGGATTCTTAACCATCCTACTAATCATACACGTATCAATTCAACTCAAGTCATTTATCCTATCTTAACTTGGTTTTTGGATCCTTAACCATCCTACTAATCATACACGTATCAATTCAACTCAAGTCATTCATCCTATCTTAACTTGGTTAATATACGCTAAAAACTCTACAACTTATAATTTAATTGAATGATGAATTTTTTACTTTGAAATGTGAAAAAATACCAGTAAGTTACCGGGTATTGGCATTTTGTTGACATGAAATTATGACTTTTGTTGATATATATATATATATATAAGGGGGGGGGGGGGGGGGGGGGGGGGCGAGAGGGATTAGGGGGGATAAATGAGGATCTGCAAGTAGCATTAGTGTCATTTTCAAGCAGAAGGAAGTCTCCACTTATTCATAAAACATGGGCACTAAAAGTTCCTACTATTCCTTTGGAAAAAGGCAAAAGGCATAAAAGAAAGAAGGGTTAAAGGGTGGTCATCTCTGCCTAGCTATATATTTATAGCACAGGTGGCAAGACAAAAACTATGCAACTGGGTACCTTTAATATGTTCAACCTTCTAAAGTATGATTTTCTTTTCGTTTGGGCCATGAAATGATCTCTCTTCCATCACTTTGAGCTTTGAAAGAGTCATGGAGTTGAAAATTGATATATATATATATATATGTATTATATGTTGTTGTCACCAAGAGCATTGCATGACTCTATCATATAGGTCACGAACTCCTCTCGGCCCCCTTTTTTTTTTTTTTTTTTTTGGTTCCTTTCTTACAAATTTTAGTATTTATTAGACTACTAATTCTTCTATACCATTTTATGTTATATATATATTTATTACTTACCAGTGTTGTAGTAATTCATAGTATCTATTTTGAGAACTTGAGTATTTTAAGTTCTCAAAGAAATAAAGTAAGTGTATATATATATATATAAACAAAAATCATATTATTAAACATGATTTTTATTGTTGTTGTCTTCTTAGGATTGAAACAGAGAATAAGAATTTCCTTTAGACTATGTTTGGAATAATGGAAAAGAAAATAAATGATAACATTGGTTAGGAGAGAAAAGAAAGGAAATAAGAAGATAGTAATAAGTGTTAACCATGTATTGTGTTTGGTTGATTAATGGGAAAAAAGAAAGGATAGAGATGAAATAAAATAATACTATTTAATAATTTAATATCATACCCTTTTTCATAGGTTTTATTTTTTATAAAATTATCAAGGATAAGGACAAAATAGAAAAGTTTTATTAAACTTTATATCTCTTTTCCTTTTATTTCCTTTCATTTTTGAAAGATAACAATATCCTCTAAATTTATCTGTTTTCTTTCTTTTTCTTTAATGATTTATACCACAGACAATATAACATCCCTCTCTCCATGACCTTTCTTTTCTTTTCCTTTTTTCTCTCCAACCAAACTAGAATATACATTAGTTTTAGAGGAAATTAAGTAATATTTTCAGATTTTGTACGTTTTTTCTCACTGTATATAATTAACTTTCTAGAAGAAAATTATAGTCAATCTTGCTTAATTAAGGGAACCTTCCTTTTGGAGTAACTTAAACTTCTTCAATGATGCGTATACATATGGCAAGTCTAATTAGTACATTTAATCGGCTGCAATATATATATATATATATATATATATATATATATGTATTGAAAGGTGAGAAAGTAGACTACAACCTTTGGTCTTATATAATTGATTCGTATTAGAATATTATATATAATTTAATTTCTTGTCATCTTAAAAATCAGCGGACATTAAAATATACAATTGAAGTGGGAGAGAAGCTTAAGCTTGTTTTTGCATGTCATTGAATTTGAGTGAATGTACACACACACACATATATATGTATGTATGAGTTATATATAAACTTTTATGCATTTACATCTAGAATGAATTGGGATATATGCTTTAATTGGTACTCACAGACATGCCTCCACCGAGGATCAAATTCCTAACTTCCTTTTAAGGAATAGGAGCCTGGTACCGCTCAACCACTGACCTATTGACTTTAACATACACGTATATAACTTATATATTTGTATGCATAACGAGAGATCGATGTTTAATTTTTCTTGATGACAAATTTCAATTTTAAGCGGTGCATTTCGTGTTAGTCCTTAGAACGAGTGACTTCCATTGAAAAGGTCAACCCACTAAAGGACCAATGCACCGATTCCACCACCACTTTAGCCTCATTGTAGATTGTGTTGGGGAGAAGAGATCTCTTATGGGGAGCTCTTACATAGGGAAGGGTTAACCATACTCACACCCCATGTAGGGTGAAGAGATAGGGAAATCAAATTGAGGGTAGGACAAGTAGCATAGCCTTAAAAAAAAAAAAAAAAACTAAAAACGATAGGAGATATGCCGGACCGGTAGGTCAATCACTAATTGCGTCAATTTTATGTTAACTTTATTCAAATTTTTGCGTATATGCCAATTAATGATTACTCGGGACCAGTAATCGAATTGATCCAGAGACATACACTAATTTCTCCTTTATATGATCATGCCAATATATATATATATATATATATATATATATATATATATATATATTATTATGTTTATGGAAGTACATGGCTTATTATTTGGGAAGTATGAGTATATGCCCTATTAACCCATTACCCATATTTGACTAGTAGTGATGATGAAAGGTTTGCAGGTACCTTTTTTTGGTTGAACTAGGCAGAGGTCCACTTGAGGATTCCTTCCCACTATGGATGCCTTTTGGCACCCTCTCCACCCCTAAAAGAGGGAGCTTCCAAAATTATGGAACATATTTTGATCAAAACTCAAACCTTCACTAAAGCATTTATGGCAATCTAAGTAGTACAAAGTGGCTAGGGTTTCAATAGGGGCCAAAAGTGAACCATTAAGTGTACTTTTTCATGATTGTTCATTTTGAAATGGAATTTCCAATTTAAAAAGGGTTAGGGCCTTCTTCTTACATCACCATGTACACAAGTCTAAGCGCGCCACATGTCACGATGATAATGGCCACTTTGGCAAAATGACACATAAACATGTGTAAACATGCAGGCCATGTGAATTTTTCAGAGCAATCTTGTTTGTTGATCTTGATTAAGAAAGCTTTAAGCCAACCCAACCACTTGAAAGAACTTGTCTCCTTTCAATTTTCATTTTAAGCATTTGATGTTTAGCCCTGTGCACCTTAAACATATTTAATATTCCAAACTATAAAATTATGCAAATTTTCTTCTCTATTTATCATGCAAAATCAAGGCATGTTGGGAACATGTGTACCACTAATAACAGTGCTTGATACACTTTATTTACTCAATTCTTCTTTGGAAATCATTGTTAGTTAATAAACTATGCATATATTACCAAAGTCTCTAACTTAAAGTAACCACATATCCTTCGAATTCTTCGAATTCGAAAGATGCAGAATGATGGGCATGTGAGAAGGGAATGTGGGTCCGACAACATGATATCAGTGATGGGGCCTACACCCTCAGAATTGCTCCCTCAGAATCCTCCGAATTCAAATAATATAGGTTTATTTGTAACTTTATGGTATTTTTTTACATTTTAAGCTCGAAGGTTGAGTTTGAGTGTTCAAGTCACCGGTAAAATAAAAAATAAATTAAGGACATTATAACGAAGAGAAAGTAGTTAAAGATAGGGATGCCAGCCAGCCACCTGCAAATTATGTTTAGTAGTCTGGAAAAATGGGTTCAAAGGTATGTTTTGGCAGCCTAGGTGAGTGTTATAAATGGTTGTAGCTGAATGTGAGAGACGATGGCCCAGGGACTTGCATTTTCATCAGCTGGAACTGGTACCAATCATTGGGTCCACATAATAAATACAAAACAAACAAATTATGACCAAGAGAGTTGGCTAAGAGTTGGCAAAATGAGTACCTATGACTTCTGTTACCACTCCTATGTTGATGACTAGAATGACCAGTTACTGGTTAATAGGGCCTGGCTTTTTATAGACTCTAGGCCCAATCATTTTGCCTATAAAAAGGTTCAAACACCTTTGCGGCTCTCTTGGCCCTTTAAGGACGGCCTAATCTTTAGCCCAAAATGATACTGCAGTATAGGGGTTCTATTGTTTTAACTGTATGCAAGTCAAATCCTAACTAGTTAACAACTTAACACAGTGGTCCTCTGCTAATCCTAACTAGGTTTGGTTAAAAGTTCTCAATATCAAATCATTCCAGAAAAAGATAAAAAGATGATGCTAAAATTTTACTGTAATATATCTTTTCATAGGCCTGTAGGAGTGCCCCTCTAAGAGTGTAAAGTGGGCTGGATGACCTGGGCCAGCCCAAGAAGTTCGGGCTCGAAGAAGCCCGAAAGTTGTCACTTTCATTGCAAACATGAAATCCTACTTTTGTATCTATTATGCTGCAAAACATACAAGGTGGATGATGGTATCAACATTCAAAGTGCCAATCAGTTTTCTCATGTGTTAAGGATGTAAAATGGGCTGGATGATTTGGGCCAGCCCAAAATGTTTGGGCTCGAAGAAGCCCTAAAGATGTCACTTTCATTGTATACATGATGAAATCCTACTTTTGTAGCTATGCTGCAAGCCTGCAAACACCCAAGATGATGAGAATTTTCTTCTCATGTTCACATTCTAGACAAAATCATTACAACCAGCAAGCTTCTAAGAGCATATCAGGGTGCACAAGTCCTTGATCCTTGTTTGTGAAATGTCAGTGTAGGGGAAAATCCTGAACTTGTCAGTACCGGTACAAGTCAAAGTGAGACGACCAACGGTTGCCATGGTCTGCACATACCATACAAGTATAATTAGCATGGATATTCAAATTTATAATCACATCTCAGCTGCATAACAATGTTTATACATATAAAACATAGTATAGATAACAATAATGTGGAAATTAATGTGAGCTAGGAATAACTACCATATATGATAAGACAAAGAACTTGCCTAGAGAATCTGCTGCTAAAGATCATTTCTCATATTAAAAAAAAAAAAAGAAAAGAAAAAGGTACAGAATAGGGAATATAGCCTACTCAGTGCAACTAAAACATAAAAACAACTGTCAATTTACATAGACAGTGAAGATTAGCATTTGGTACTTAGTATAAACTTTGTTCATATGTCACAAGCTTCAGGCAAATGTCAATCTGTGTTAACCTAATGCTTTGATTGCTGACAATGAGTCAAAAAAGAAAAGTTAATATGCTACAATAGTCAGCCACCTCAACTCCAACCTGCAATAAATTTCAATTTTCTTTCATTTTAGCTACCAAATGAAGCATATAGCAATTTTCTTTTTAAAAAAATTAAATCAAGGGCTTCCTCCACCATTCTGTTAAGTGAGGACAGAAGCATATACTTTAGTCACTCTTAAACATTTGAAGCTACCGTTGGAAGTATATACTTCTGGTCACTCTTACACATTTGAAGCTACCATTGTCATGTCCAAAATAAAAAGAAGCCATTGTTGTGTACTTGTATGCCCAGAGAACTTTACCAAGAACAATAAGGTGGAAGTTCCTTTTATTCTATTTTCTCTTGCTACCTCTTTCATAACTTTTTTTTACAGAAATATTATTTTTTCTCAGATGTCAAGTTAAAGTGCCAAATCAATACATACCTCACAATGAATTGGTTTGTCATTGCAGCTCCAACATTTGGAGGGAACACAGTCAATATATTGACACCAGCGACAGTACTTGCTCACATTTATGCCATGTACAACGGCTATAATACCACCTGCAAAACTGCACAAGAGGACACTGTTAGGGACAAACTGATAAATAGCAGAAAGATTATTGTATAAACAAAACGTGAACTCACATCAGACTGAAGAGAACAAGAGAAACACTCCTCATCAAAGGCTTATCCAGCTTCTGTCTCAGTTTGACTTTGGGGGAATCTTCGACATCATAATCAAATAAACCTCCTTTGTTTTTACCCATTTGCCCAAGCTGAGGACTGAACAGGAGCACAAATCCAAGAAGGAATCCTGATATAAATCCTCCAATATTTGAAAAATTGTTGATATAAGGCATCAGACCAAGGGCAAGATTGATTGTGAAGATAAAGAAAAAAGCCAGAAGAGCTGAAAACTGCAATCAAACAAAGGAGATATTAACAGAAAAGTTAAACAGCACGGCAAATAAAGAGAGAAATCTGAGAAAATAAAAGGATGAAGGACCTTTTTGCTGTAAAAGTTCCAGTATTGGATAAGGCCTGAAACCATGGCACCAAGCAACCCAAATAGAGCACCAGAGGAAGAAACTGATGGTCGGTCTTGGACAAATAGTGCAGCCACCACACCACCGAAAGCAGCAGAGAGTATGTAGATAATTCCTATCCTTGCTGCAAACAGTGAATTAAAAACAAAGAAGGTAAACAATTGTCTGAAAAGAATTAGAGTATCTACCATTTATAATTTTTAACTCAAAATAAACTTAAAAGGAAACAAATATTACATGGTCCAAACTCTTGCTCTAAGTGAACTCCAATAAAAATAATGCTGGAGAGGTTGATGAGAAGGTGGACAACCCCAGCATGCAACCATGGATATGTAAAAACACGCCAAGTTTGGTGATGTTTTGTCAAGAGCGTTTTTCGAAGAGCCCCCATTTCATCCAGCCTGCAGCAGCAAGAATAAATTACCAATTAGTGGCAACCAAAACATATACAATTTAGAATATCTAACAAGGAATAGAAACGCTGCTTTTAGTTTTAGGGTGTTAACTGCTTGAAATATTTTCAGCACAATAAATTTTGCACTAAATCAACAGATGGCGGATAATGCCGTTCAGCTGCAGTATAAAAATGACATGATTCTGAAGAAGAAATTGTTTTGGTTTTCAAGAAATATGTCCCCATTCTGCAATCCACGTACACAATCTGTGTCTTACAAGCAGGTTCATGCATTCTCATATACATGGCAAAATTCAGATGAGAATCACCATCATAAGAGTCTATTTGATGTAGTCAATTCACACAGATGAATCCAGAGACTATATTCTTATAATTGGGAAAAGCGGCAAGAATTATGCTTTGTTTACATCAAAGGAAAAAAATACAGTAACAAAGTTTTCTACAACAAAAATCAGCATAAAAGAACTGAATTATTACAATCTGTGGTTGGCTGTGGAACTCGGAAACGTCAGTGATTAGGTTAGCAGTGGAAATGACTATAATAATATTGACAATTCTCTTAGGCTAAGTTGGAGCATATATAGGTGCAGACCCCTGATGAACTTGGAAACAATTGAAAGAAGAATTCAAAGAAATCAAGTGTGTTTAGTTTACCAAGGGGGCATCTGTTTTATGCACCAGAAATCATTCCTAGATGGCATATTCATGTTCATTGTATCATTTGGTCGTCATTAGAAAAACTTATTTTGAGTGTACATCACAGTAGCTAAGGCTTTTTTCATTGGAAAAGTCTCTCAACTATGTCATGTTCAGTGTTAGTACGGAATAAATTATTCCGTGTATAACTGAACAGAATCACAGAAGTTTTCACCTCTTTCCACTAGAATGAAAGAGAAGGAAACACTCTACTATGTCAATTTTTCTAGGAGATTTTCTATCACACACATATGGAGCCAAAAAGGAAGTTCAGAATCGATTGAATAAGTCATACGCTGACAGCCAAATCTATATCAGTAGCTCTGTTTGGTTCCTGAACATGGAGGAAAAAAAGAAAAAGAAAACGTCGAATATTACAAATTGTTTGACTTGTAGCTCAATCAAATTGAAAGGAAAAAAAAAAAATTCCAAGATTCTGTTTAAAAATTAGGAATCTAGAGTGAATCAAAATTTTGACTCTTACAGGTTGATTCAAAATATATAAAAATTCAAATAAGCAATGCGAAAGATTCCAACTTTTCTTCTCTTTTCCTTAATCTTGGAAACAGAAAGGGAAAAGAAAAAAGACAAAAAAAGAAGAAACATAAGGATTACAAGGAAATAACTACAAAACATATAAATTCTTTAGAAATTATGAAAATATTAATTGAAACACACAATTACCGGAAATGAAATAAACTTTTTAATCCTCTTCCTCAGGTTTTCCCAGCAACCAAATGATTTAAACTAAAAATCCCCAATATATCAGAGCAGCAACTAACAAAAAGGAAAAAAAAATTTGAAAAACAACAACCAAAAATCGAAGATTCACAACAGAAATTGTTGGGTTTCTGGATATAGTTGTAACCCAAAGGAAGCAGGAGAAATAAACCAAAAAGCATTTAAAAGGTAAAATTTTCAGAAACAAAATCCATAACAGTTAATATCAATTAAAGCACACAATTAACACAATCAAATAAATTTTCCTCAGTTTTTCCCAGTAACCAATGAAATGTAAGTTTGAAACCACATAAATTGTTCTGGAAGTTCTAATCAACACATTACCAAAACTGTGCAATTTCTTCCATCAAATTTTCCCAAAACAAATTAGAAATAAAATTAAACCACAAGCTTCTCAATAATCACAAGAGCAATTAATTTAATGGATCAAAACTGAAGTTTAATCAACAAATATCAATACAAATGCAAAGAAATTTGATTGAAGAAAAACTAATCTGGGTAAACTTATAGCAAGAAATGAACAAGAAATTGTTTCATGTGTACATGTCACATAAACAGGAACAATAAAATATGACAACAGCCAAATAAACCCTAATTTTAAGAAGGTTGAACTTCTGATCTTAGGTTTTCTCATTTATTGGAACACTAGCCAACAAGAACCTCCCCTTTAACAAACCCTAATTTTATATCACAGGAAGACAAAAACTATAAAATTTTATGTTCCTTTCTCATCTGTTTTCTAAGCAACCAAACAGTGGAAAATGCAAGAGACCCCCTAATTTTGTATCTCAGAGATACAAAACTATAAAATTTTATGTTCCTTCCTTTCTCCTCTGTTTTCTAAGCAGCCAAACAGTAGAAAATGTAAGAAACCCCCTAATTTTATATCACAAACAGTAAAAACTAATATTTTATGCTCCTTCCTTTCTCCTCTGTTTACTAAGCAACCAAACAGTGAAAAATGTAAGAAACCCATGTCAAATTTCATGCCAAGCTAAACAAATGCAAACAAAGATTTCTTAAGAACACCAAATCCACATAAACACAATAAAGAACTTACAGTTTCCTCTGCTTTCTCATCAACCAAACAGAGGGAAAATGCAAGAAACCCACCCAGACGTCAAACCTTACAGTTGCAACACAATTATGAGAGTGAAATATCAAATTATAAGAACAGGTAAACCAAACACAGATGGAGAAATAAAGAAAAGAAGATAAAGTGAAATCAGTGAAATATCGAAGAACTAGAACAAGAAAATTAAACCCAGATAGAGAAATCAAGTAGAGAAGAGAAAACAGACTCACGCTGAAGCAGAGGGACCGAGAAGAGGGTTCTCGGAGAGAGGCTGAAACGACAACCTTCCTAGTGGACTCAACGCGCACTCGCCGTGAGAGTTCTGCCAACAATCGTTGACGATCATGGTGGCTGCGAAAGCCAGCAGGTGAAGCATCACGAAGAGCGAGATGACCCAGGTATTCTCTCTCTTCTGCGAGAGGGGTCCGAAGAAGGGAACCCTCTGACCTTTGAGTGAATCATCGGCGCAATCGACGGAGAATCTTGGCTGTTGAGGCTTGATTTCGATCTGCGTCTGGTCTTTGGGGGTCACTGGCGCCATTGATTTTGCAAGAGAAATGCCAGTGGGAGTTGGCCAGAAAGATGAGCTTTCGCAGTAGAGAGAGAGAGTTCTAGAGAGAGAGAGAGAGAGAGGGGTCTAATGGAATGAAGCTGGCGCTTTGAGGTATATAAGGGTATCTGTGTAAGAAAATAGAGAGAGAGTCTCTCTCTAGAACAGTTGGGCTTGGGGAAGATATTTTCTCTCTCTAGAAACAGTTAGATTTGGCGGGAAAGCTGTTAACCTGTACTTCTAGTCTACTAGTACCCAATACCGATGTAGTACACGTTGTTTTAGTTGGAGGAAAAAGAAAATTTTAAAGGGATGTTAATATGTATTTGGTTAATTTGTGTAAATTTTGGAAAAATATATTGTATGATTTTTTATATTTGAGTGGAAAACAAAATTAAAAAAAAATGAGTTGGAATTAAAAATGGTGGAGGAACTTAAACCGCCGTGGGAAAATAATGCCAGAGTTGTTTGCTAATTTAACCTAGAACCGATGCCGAAAAGAGGGAGGAAAGATCCGGCCTCAAACTCACCTTGTTACGGTCTCTAAGCACAAGTACATGAGATTTTTATCGTTTCAATATCTGATTTGACCTTATGACCTCTAAATCTAAGTTGCAATGAAACAATTTTAAAGTTAGTTCTTATTGAGAAAAAATAACAAAAAAAAGAAAACATAAATGTATAAATTTACCTGAGTAAGTTAAAATTAAGATATCTCTTAATGTTATGCATGACATAGTGTTCTATGTGCCTGAATCAATCACATAAAAGTATACATAACATCCAAATCACAAATACATCATAACACATTGAATTTAACTAACAAAGCTGCTATATTATTACCATTTTATTAAGTGTGTGGAGTTCTCGCGAAGAAAAAAGAAAAAAATATTTACTTCATTCCAATTAAGACTTGACCTTTGGAAAGTTGAAAGGATTTCTTCAATTTATTTTGTTTTTTTAAAAAATCAAAATAGAACGAAAAGAAAAATCTAATTAAATCCACTCAAACATGCAAATAAACATGATGATTCTTAATGAGAAATTTTTACATCAAATAAGATACTTAATAAAATTGATACATTTATTTGCATGTCATGTTATGATTCGCCAAAACCATGTTACAATTTCTCTTCTTCGAGATGCATCCTCAGTTGTTTTCCAAAACCACAATTGTTTTAAACCTTTTTAAACTCAATTTTCAAAGAAAACTTTCAAAATATTTTGAAATTTTCTCTCTATTCTCAAGAAATTAAACCAAACTAGTGTTATCACTCTTCTGTTTGGAGCTATTATTATAGCACACAATGGTGCAATGTGTGAATGAAGTTACCTTTATGCCTTTCGGCCCTTTCCTACATGTGAAAGCTCATATAGATATATGTATATTACACCCACACACACACACACAACAACATAAAGCTTGTTCCAAGGCTGCCTTTTTCATGACCATGTTGAATAAAATTGTAGCCATTCTGTTCCAAATGATCAAACCTTCAAAACTTACTTGATTAATTTTTTATTTTATTTTTTGATAAGTATATAATTAATTATTTTGATGGGAAGGATACTTTTCCACTTTTCTAAAGAAATTAAAGCGAGGAAAGAGAGAAACATAGAAATAGAATTGCTTTACCCTCAAAGCTCAACAAAGAATCCACCTTACATATTCCCAAACTATTATAACATCACCTCATTCCAACAATGTCCTCACCTTACCCCCTCTTCTTCCCCGGGATTCCATCACTGGCCGGTTGGTGACGATGAATGACACTGTCCGTGAAGACCTGATCGAAAGCAGGGAAGATGACAACAACTACTATCTAGCAGATGATGACACCGATGGATCCCATTTCATATATGCTATCAATATGATCTTAAGCGGCACTGCACGCCTCAATGTTCTCTTACCTACTGCCACCATCCTTGCCTTCACCATTTTCGCTCCTCTGCTAACTAATGATGGCAAATGTGATACCTTGAGCCGCTGGCTGATGGGTTTCTTTCTGGTCTTTTCAGCTGCCTCTTGCGTCTTCTTTTCCGTCACTGATAGCTTTCGAACAGCCACAGGAAGGTTGTACTATGGTGTGGCGACATTCAATGGGATATGGACTTTTAATGGAGGCCGGAAGAAACCATGCGTGCCATCTGATTACAGGCTGCGATGGGCTGATCTCTTCCATACATCACTTTCGTTAATCGCTTTCCTCACTTTTGCAGCTTCTCATACTGATGTCCTGGAATGCTATTATCGGGCCGTGCCCAGAAAGGTCATCAATTCTGCTCCTCTGGTGGTTGGGTTTGTGATAAGTTTTCTCTTTGTAATGTTTCCTTCCAGGAGAAGAGGAATTGGATATCCTTTCCTGCTGCAGCGGGATGCTTTGTACTGCAGAAATTGAAAGACATTTTGTTTCCATCAAATACAAACCAGAAAATTGTTTCTTTCCCTCTTCCTGTATACGAATACTGCAGAAATTGAAAGACATTTTGTTTCCATCAAATACAAACCAGAAAATAGTTTCTTTCCCTCTTCCTTTCTACGAATGTTAAGACAAATACAACAAAAATCAGCTACTGATGACAAAGAACAGCATTATATCGTTTCAAAGTTATATCACAGGGTGTTAAACAATCAACATAACACATTTCATCATGTTTTACGGGTTTCAATTCAACACTATTATCATCTATTAGGGTGCCAATAGGATCAAAATTCTGTTGGTTTAACTTTCATATAGTTGCATATATGTATATATGTGTATGTATGTATATATGTAGCATTAACAAAACATATAAATTAGATTTATAGTAAAGGCTAAAGCAGATCACAGCAGAAACTTGGGGATTGGAAAAAAAGAAGCAAAGAAAGCTAATTTTGCATGCTATGTGAATTGTGAATCAGAAACAAACATAATAAGCACATTTGAAACCAAGTCATATGGGTGTGATACATCATTGATACACATGAACCATTCATCATGAGAGAGAGAGAGAAACAAACAAACAAACAAAAAAACACTACAGGGAATGAAAATAATACCATTATCGTACCGGTAAATGGGTTGAACCAAGGCCATAATTTGACAAAATCCATCCTTCTGCTTGTCAAAAGTAGCATCTAAAGATGAATCACTAGCCAATTTGGCTTCAAAGCATCACTAACTGCAACAAAAACAGAAAATTCTGAATAATCTACCATCCTTTCAAATGGAAGTATTCAAAGCATCACTAGCCAATTTGGCTTCAAAGCATCACTAACTGCAACAAAAACAGAAAATTCTGAATAATCTACCATCCTTTCAAATGGAAGTATACAGACACTTTAAATGGCATCGAAAGTCTGCCTGAAGTGGGTTATACCCAGCTCAGTGCAAATAGAACTTTGCCAATCACACCCCATCTATTGATAGCTCTTTCCCGGTGGCATTAAGGGAACCTTCTTTCTAATAATACCAGGTTTGTGAACCAATTAGTCCCATAATTTTTCTCGAACCAGTCCTCTCAATAGATAAATAAGTAAAATAGTTAGAAATGCTACCGAGAGAATAACTGAAGGCAGGATGACCATAAAACTCACACAAATTTCCATTTACAAGCACAAAAGAAAAGAAGTAAGTTTTACTTATTAATCTGAGATCCTTTCTAATGGAAAATAATAATTACCTCTAAAAATCGGAAAAGATGGTATAGATGAACCAGATTTTTGATATTTCAAATGCTTGATTAGCAGTGGAACTTTCTCTTCTTGTCAATATGTAGGTTGTTCTAATCAGTAGCACCAACACTGTAATCAGATGTAAGAGAAAGATACTTATAACACAATAATGACTTCTAGTTTGAATGCAGCCTATCTACAGTTGGCATATGAGACCATTTATTTCTCAAGGGTATTGAAACACTAGAATAGGTGTCCCTTCATCACTTATGATATGGGTACCCAAATTTTTGTTCTTTTAACTTATCAGGTGCCAAATCCAGGATTGGCACTTAAAATAATCAACAAACTAGTATAACAAACACCATGATATGAAAAAATCTACTTCACTATAGGCAAATTTAACTAGTTATACTACATAAAATTTCTAAGCTAACATTATGCAAAAATGTCACCCACATACAAGCTCCTTCCTGAACTCAGGGCAAGAATTCGTAAAATATTAGAGAAACATGCAGTGTTCTTAAGTGATGCAAGATTCAAACAACTGATGGGACTGAAAGCTGAAATAAACTGGCTCACACTTCATGATTAAGATCTCATGAATTAAACATGGGATTATAAATACAAAAGATCAAATAATTTATAAATTTGTGAAGTAGCAAAACGTATGTTACATGGACTCTTTAACAGTATGTGAAATACCCATGTCGGACATAGTAGTACATTTGGTTGGACATGAAACCAAAAATCATATTCAATAATTCATTTTAATCAATTATTGCCTTAAAATGAGCTAAATGCCTATTTTGAACACCTGGACACATATCTACCAAAAAAAAAAAAACCCGTGTCTAAGTAACATAGGGCATGACTCCTAATTACACAAGTCTGTCTAGCTACTAAATAAGACATACAGATACTGTCTTAAAGAATCAAGATGAGAAGAAATAATGTTATCACAAAAAAAGCTAAAAACTTCTGCAAAATAACATGATACAGCATAACTAGCTGTGTGGATAGAAAAAACAGAGGGTATCCAACAGTGGAGAAGTGACCTGGGGACAAAAATTGATAAAAGCAGGAGTGACCTTGAAGTGACACCAAATCCCCCTCCACTGAAACAGCACAGCTACAATACATATTCCATCCTTTAACAAGAACACAAGTATGCATAGAATAAAAACAATGATTGAATAAATTCCTTCTCAAAGTTAAGTTCACATGGAAGTTGTATAATAAACAAATATTGGATATCAAAACCAAGAAAATTTCATGCAGCTTCAATTAGTGAAATAATAATTATAGGCTCACAAGCAGGAGTAGTTTTGATGTTATAGATCACCAAACAGAACTATCAAGCAAAGGATCATTTAACATGGCTGAACATCAGAAATTCTGAATAGGAACATATCATTTGGGCAATTAACAGAACAGATTCAAATTAGACCCTAATTCCTTTTTGAGGTAACATAAAGAAATTGAATGCTGACTTGGTGTCTATGTTTAGCTCCTTTAAAGTAGAGAAAGGTGTGGCGATTCCCGTTTTCTGATATATTGCATCCTAGGTAGTAGATAGGTGTATGCATAATTCCATCTTTGAGTAGCAAAACTTGGGTATGCTAAATTGTATCTGATGAGTTACCGTTAGATGCTTTCGAGTCAAGCGTGTACCACCCACCAAAATCTACCACTAGGAGTACAGCTAGGGAGATCTCAGCTCTGACATGCCACATTGCAACAGGGTCTGTAAAAGAATGCTTCAAGTTTAACATAATTTGACAATCCAGATTCTAAATCATAAGCTGCCGTAGTATGCAGTAGCTTCTTTTCCTGCTAGTAGTTCAATCAAAAAGTATTGTGCCAGACGCCACATGAATTGGAACAAATATTTGACATCCAAGGAATAAGTGCTTTAAAACATGTTTCTCCATATGAATACTGATCTTATTGTCTCCTAAAGAATTGTTACAATGACAATATAACTGTCTGTCAAGAGTGGTTTTCCTTATGAAAGAGCAAAGCAAGAAGAAAACAAATTGTTATGACAAACGCAGTGAGCCCAAGAACAAATCATGAAACACGATAGAAAAATAAGCACAACACAAACAAAGAACATAAATATTTAGCGTGGTTCGACATAAGTTGTGTCTACATCCACGGTGTAGATCTGGCAAAAGATTTAACCACGCGAAAATCAGGAGATTACAAGTTTCAGGCACCCCAAACCCTAGCTCTCGCTCTCACTTTCACTCTCTATTCTGCGATTTTAAGTCTCTCAATGTCCCACTCCAAACCCTAAACGCCCTTATATATCGGGCTACAAGATATTACTAAACAGGATCCACAACCCGCAAGAAAAAAAAATGGGTCAAAAATTTCCTCAGGTCGCCAAGTCGAAAATAGGTCGCAACTCAACCCGGAACCAACTTCGGGACACAACATCACAAAAATTATTTCTCTGGTCCATGCAACAAAGAAGATGAGATAAAATAGGGTAATTAAAGTATTTCACATAAATACTCCCTGGATTGATTCGATGATATGAGTATTGTTCTTATGAATTACATGGACTTCATCAAAACATTAAATTAAACTCAACAGAATGCTGTCCCAGCTGCTAGGTTTCCGTGGTACGTTCATTTTACACTTTCTTGGTTTTCACCCCTATCATTTGGATTTAGATACTTGAAATAAATAATTAAAATCCCAGAACTTCACAAGAAATCAACATCATATGACTGACTACAACAAATTTCTAAAAGTTTGAAAAGGTAACATACTTTGCTGCAGGAAAACCATTTTAATCACAAAAGATAGCTAATAGTTAGAGCAAGCGTTCCTGAGAACACACAGTGCAAAAGGAACCTTGCGCTGCGGAAATGAATGATAAGTTCTTTGAATTTATAAATTATGAAGAATCTCCAAGAGAGTACAATACAATTTTTTTACAAAATCATATAGGCTCTTTCAGCATGTAGAGTTACAAACAAGCCTGCTTAATTGACACATTGCATGCTACTCAACCTAACAAAACTCTAAATTGTGACTATCTAGGACCACACATCCATGACATGACAAGCTAAAATTCCATTCTCTATTGCCCTTGCATAAAGATCAAGAATACAAACTGAAAGTGGCCTTCTGCATTTGTAGTTCCAGAAATTCTACCCTATCTATCATCCACTAAAGTAGCAATTCTAATATCGTTTTGAACCTGGTCACCAACCCCATGTACTATGCAACAAAGCTACAACAACATGAGTACTAGCCTATCCACCATCTAATGAAAGTTCGACACCTCTCTAAAATTTATGCAACATCTCTCTCTCTCTAGCAAATCTCTATCCTTCTAAAAATGACTCAAGGCCCCGGCACTTTTCATCACCAAGCTATCAAGATTTATCAATATGCATAACACTAGCAGCATCCAGAGATTTCGAGATTTATCACAAGCAGTTGGCATCCAGAAATTACAAGTATCCTTAGAGATGGGAAGTGGATAGATAACTGTCGCTCATTGAGGGTAACCAACTGACATTTTGCATATTTCATAGTCTCTTTTCATTGACCATTTTTAAGAACACTTCAGTCTTCAGGTATATTTCTATATTCAAGTGGTGCCCAAAATGCATGTGAAATGGGGTGAAGATGATGAGAGAGATGAGTTTCTATATCAGTTGGTCGCCAAAATGCAAGTGAAATGGGATCAAGATGGTTGACAAACGTGGTTCCAGTTCAAGGAATTTTTGGATGTCAGAATTATATTATATCAAGAACTTATTGATTCCAAGCCAATCAATCTATATGATAGTTCTCAGGCTGAAAAATTCCCCCTACCATGCTGGTGTTATTAAGACAGCTGTTGTGTAACTGTATTTATGCCTGTTTCAGTTTATGATTCTACAATGGCAAAGGCCTTAGCTTTGAGGAAAGCGCTTGACTTGGATTATCAACACAAGTTATTACCAAAAGATATTCCCCCTCAAGGAAGATGAGAAGGCCAGTAGATATCCAAAATGTGACCGTTCATGCCTTAAATACCAGAGTTTTTGGCTTATAAGTGGCTGCTCTGTTTCTGCTAGTAGTTTTGTGTTCTGGTAGATGAATTGGGTTTTGTTTTGAGCTGTGGTTGATCCCTACTACAGTTAGTTTGTTGAGTTTAGGTTTTTGGATGCTTTGGTGTTTGCCTTGTAGTGTGTTTTGTCTTTGTTCCAGGAGAGATGCCTCCTTGGCTTTTGTACATAATTTTTCCGTCTTAGCTAGTCATTTGGCTTTTGTACATTATTTATACTGTTGGGGACCAAAGAATCTGCGTAAAGTGTAACTGTATTAATCAGTAAATCAATATCTTGTTATCAGCTCTTGTTGTTTGTGTTATGAGACTTTTAATCAGGGTTCTATTTTCATTTCCACATTACTTCTTTAACCTTCATGGTCCCATTTTGCTGAAATTTTGTGGAAGGGAAGGAAAGGAAATTCATATCACATCATACAAACACAATGAACAGAATTCAAATGAACAGCTATGGAAACTCCTAATCACAAACCAACAGGGAAAAAGTTCAGCAAACTTCAATTAGAATTGATCACAGATGGTTTTGTGCTCTTCTGAGACATATTCAAGTATTCCTTATATATATATATATTATATCACTGACAGACTTGAGAGGCGAATTCCTATTTGACCTATTAAGAACCTTTTTGAGCATGCTATACCATTTGACTTTTATCTCACTGCTTTTGGCTTATTAAACCACATGAATTATAGGTCAGAGTGGTATCTGATATTCTTGAATACTTCAGCTTCAATCCTTATCTGTTTGTTTGTAATTCCAGAGTTGATACAAACTAGCAGGCAGCAAAGTCCCTGTTTATCTCAGTTTGTATTTTCATGCTTATCTCAATTTTTATACAAAGACCCACCTACCAACAAATGTCCCTGTTTATCATAATTTGTATCTTCATGCTTATCTCTGTTAAATTAAAGTCATCAATCTGCTCTCGCTGTTTAGCTGAGAACTACCTATGGTCAATTATAATTCAGAAAACAATGTCGCTCAAATGAATAACCAAACAACAATGCATTTGAACTAAGAAAATAAAAAAGAAATGACGTAATCTAAATTACCTTAGAATTTAAACACCAATTGCAAGATAAAAACAGTAGCAAGATCATGAAATTAAAGGAGTTTGTAACACATGAAAAGAGTACAATACTGCTAATTAACAAGGCAGAGAGTTCTCATTGAATTGGCCACCGCTTGAATTGTTCAGAGTAAATTTTTTTCTTCATCTCCTCCAAGTCATTAAGCAACAAAAGAGCACGCTCATTTGCATATGCATATAACAGCTCATGTTCCGATGCTAAAGATGAAATCTCACGAAAATTACGACACAAATGACTATAACGCTTTCCAGCAGACTTCTTAGGACAAACATTGGCTTCAATTCCATGATAATTAGAGATAGTCCTTGCCTTTGCATCTCTTGTCCATCGTTTCATGATATATTGGGGTGGAATCCTTTTTATATTCTTCTTATCCAGCACTTTCAACGCATGAGCACATAAAATTCCAATAAAAGTGAACTTCATGCAACTACAAGTGACTGTTTGTGTTGATGCTTCAAATTTAACCACATGCTCTTCAGATTTTCCAACACAAGATACTTTATATTCAACTTTTGTCCCCTCCTTACCCACTTTATATATATTGTAATCGCCCCACCTCATGTACTCTTTCTGAAACAATTCAAAAACTTCTGGAGTATAAATTTCTGCACCATGACGTAACATCTCCGCACTAATCAATAGCGTAGGCATAGTTTGCATCATCTTCAAATCTGCAAGTAGTTCTTCATATCGCCTATCATTCAAAACCCTCTCATAATGCTCACAGAAATGCAACAGATCATGCTTCAGCTTCAAGTAATTCTTTAACACATTGTTCATAATTTCACTACATTGGGTAGATGTCATGTCCGCGGTGAAAGTGTGTCGTCCATAAACCATTGCCCATTTTTCTCTTACTTCAAATAACTCTTTCAACCATGCATTCTCTTTGAGACTATATTTTTCTAACATACTATTCCAAGCCAATAACCACTTATCTTCATCTTCATCTTCATAATCGAACAAACAGTTGCCAAATTCATGAACAAATTGTTCTGATCCATGAAAGACATGACTTAAATTCTTAGCAGCAGTTTGATAAATATGGCAAACAGATAGTCGATGTTGAGATTCAAAAAAGACATCTGATATTGCTTTTTCCATTGCAACGGATTGGTCTGAGAGAATCGTCTTAGGCTGCTTTCCAGACATTGCACCAAGGAAAGTCTCAAACAACCACCTAAATGATTCTGTGGTTTCATCATAAAGTAAAGCTGCACCAAACACAACTCCTTTCTTATGATGATTTACCCCAACGAATGGTGCAAAAGGTCGACCATATTCATTTGTCCGATAAGTAGTGTCAAAGCACACAACATCTCCAAAGAGGCCATAGTCACTAACTGAACGTGCATCAGCCCAAAAAATATTAGTTATCATGTCATCCTCATCGAGCTGTATTGAATAAAAAAATGATGAATCATTCACTTGCATATTGTGAAAATATTCCAATATAGCTCCAGCATCTCCTTTCTCCATTGCCATCTTCCGCTTTCTATGTATGTAATTTGGGAAATCCTCATATAGAAAACCAACATGCTCGCTCCCCCCAACTTCTCTGCTCATCAACTCCATAGTTTCTCTTATTGGTAATCCCGACCGGTGTGCATCTTCAGCATGTGCTTTTTGAGCCTTAGAAATACTTCGATTAACTCTCAGCATATTTTCCGTGGGAGCTCTTCTAATTAATTCATGATTATGGCTTTTTTCCAATGACACGACCTTGAATTTACCATTCTTTTGAAGTAGGCATGTCATATGAGCCACACAACCAACTCTTGTAATAGGTTGATGATACAAAGGTTTTTTACCATTGTACCGTTTGTCCTCTCTTCTTTTACCTTCTTTTGAACAACAAAAGGTAACCCTCGAGATGAGCCCCTTTGCATTTTTTCTCTGATGATTTCTCCTTACTTTGAAGCCAAGCTTACCACCATAATTAAGGTAGAACTTATATGCCCCCTCATTGGAACTAAACTCCATCCCAAGTTCTGGTTCATCTTTTTTTTCTTGATTTTCAGCTTTTGAGGAACATTCATTAGTAGAAGAAGGGAAATGATCATCAACTTGCATATCAGCTTCACAACTATTCGGTGGCTCACTACTTAAGCTCACATAATCCATCTCCTCCATTAGTCTGCACTCTGCAGCATAATTATATATAATCAGAACTGACAATCAAAAAATAGAAATTTTTTCTAAAACAATTCAACAAAATGCCCCTACCAAAAAAGTCAAAACTAAAATTCTAAAACAAATACATTTTCTTTATTAGACAAAGAATGCATATTAAACACAATACTGACATCTAAAGACATATAAGCATTTAATTTTCTAACTTCATCAGGAATACTTAATAATGTGAGGGGAGCAAAGAGAACTATAGACTGAGAACTAATGCATGATTTTCTATTGTTTCAGCTTATTTTCAGCTCCAAAATTAAATAATCATTCATTTTTGAGCAAAGAGAATAAAACTCAAAATTCAGAGAAGGAAGAGGGGAAGAGAAAACTGCAAGATAATCCAAGAACCTGAATTCTCATTTAATTAAATCTTCAAAAGAATCAAAGAAAGCAAAACAACGATTTCATAAAATTTTACTAAAAAACATGTCTATACAGATATGAACAGTTAGAAATATGTTCGGTACTCCTAAAAAAGTATCTCTACAAATAATAAAACTGAATTAAACTCTAACCTGAAATCACAAATACATTTTCTTTATCTAATCTTGCAAGTAAAGAAACCATTTTTTAAAGGGAAAAAAACCTAAATAAGAATTGAGAAAAACAAAATGCTACTCCAGAATACAAACCCTATTCGATTAGGCACTTTGAAAACATATATATATATACAAATGTGAAAATATAATATTTGAACATACCTGCATCAAGAATATGAATCAATCCTTGCTAAATTCAGAAAATTGCAGGGTTAAGGTTGAGGATGAAGGAGGCGACCACCTAGGGTTTCGGATGGAGTTGGGTAGCAGAGTGTAGAGATTTGCTGTGGAGAGAGAGACTACGATCTCTCAGAAGGGAGTGAGAGAAACAAAATATGATCCATCTCATGGTTCGGTTAACCCGTAAAATACGGGTATGATCCAATTTTAATACATATATTTTTTCTTTTTAACTTTTTCACATACTCCGTAATATGTTAGAGTGTGAAGACTACTATAATATAATAAAATATAGGAAAGGAAATGTCATGATTTTGTATGAGAAAAGTATTACTATAAAGAATTTTATGGGAAGAAAATAAAAGAAAAGGAAAGGAAATTATGATGAAAATTATTCTTTCGTTTTTAAGAATTTCTTTGGGCCTTTTAGTAATTATTTCTATTTTGCATTTTCAATTTTATAAGTAAAAAAGTTTTCATTGCGGGGTGATTTATTTCAAAATAAAAACATGTTTGGTAACTAATATGTGTTTTTTTTTTTTTTTTGTTCAATGTTTCAAAACATAAATAAATACTAAAAATATTGTTTGGATGATTGTAAAAAAAAAAAAATATTGCATTTACATTCTATTGAAACAAACAAATAAAAAATACTATAGTTGTTAAGTTATAGTAACGAAAAAAAAAAAGTGAAACAAGAAATTTAAAAAAATTAATAATTTGTTACCCCATTATATTTTTTTTCCTTACTTTCAGAGCTTTTTTCTAAAGCAAATACAACACCATGCAAAGCATAACAAATGTTTCTCATAATTGAACTTTTTATGAAGTAAATACAACACCATGCTTATGGTAAAATGCACATAGTTTAGGAAGGTGTTTACACACACATATGCTGTAAAAAAAAATTCAGAAGTGACCAGCTGGAAGGCTATTTTGTATGATGCCATTCAGCTACAAAGTGGTACAGTATTGTTTCAATTAAATAAATAAATAAATAAATAACAAGTGGTACAGTATTGATGCAGAATAGAGGGTTGACAAAAGCAGTGCCATGAAAGCACTCGTACATAATGCAAGGATAATCCAATGGCAAAGACTTTCACCTCAAAATGTCAAGGTCGGGGATTACATGTGTCCAATGATGAATTATGGTCCGATACCACCATCGTCAACCCAAAAAAAAATAATAAATAAATAAAAATTGTGCGACCAATTAACCTCAATAATGGAACATGAATTGCACCATTGCACAAGTGTATAATTCAATACTGAGGCAAAGTATGTTGCAGCTGTAAAATCTTGCAAGACAACAATATAAAGGAGACTCTTTCATCCATTGCAAAGTTCAGGAAGTGGTAACAAATGCTGTCAATTCCAATTCCACATGGTTGCTACTTGAAGTGACTGCACAATCTCATAATTCCACCCTTACTCTAGTTTTAACTATCTCCAAATTCCACCTTGTTCTCTTTCCCTGAGAATTTTGTGTGTTAGTAATTTAAAAAACACTACCAAAAAACAAAACAAAACAAAAAAACACAAAACAAAAAACGAAGGCTATGTGCCAAAGTTGATTCAATCAAGAAATCATATGCTCAACCTGAACCATGTACTATCTAGATCTGTGGATGCAAATTTGTAAATTAAGGGCACAATGCCAGATCCACAAGGCCATGAGTACAAAAAGAAGAGAACAAATGATTCAAATTTAAATTTCCCCACATGCTCAGACCTTCATTACAGGAAAGAGTTCAACGGCACCCAAAACAGAAGAGCGCGAAGAAAATAGAATAGTTCAAAGCTCTCTTGTCTCACTCCGCCAAGCAAGAGCACAGTGCTCCTACTCTAATTTGTAGACTACCGCTCCATAAGCACTTGGTCAAAATTCCAGTCTCTCACGAGGTCCCTTCTGACAGCATGGCTCCGAACCAGTCGTGGGGTGCTCGTGACTCCATTACCTGGAATTGTTGGTTGTGGGGTCACCTTAGACGATGTAATAGAACTGTTTGCTGCAGTGTGCGGAAGAGATGCCTTCCTGGTCAAACAGTTGGCAATTGCAGAACATCTTCCCTCGTTATCTGAACTTGAAACGGAGTAACTCCTAAAAGAATGAGATGGACTTTCTACGCTATGGCATACAAGACATGCCAGGCTCATGTTTGGTCTTCCAGCAGTACTCACCACAGAAAGTCCTGCAAACTATATACCAAGATTAGAGCAAAGTAAAATAAGTGTCACAAAAGACCAAAGTAAAATAAGTGTCACAAAATAAACAAGAACTTATACTTGGTTTTGCAACAAAATCAATTTCCCCATTTTTATCTGCAAGGTAGAAAGTGCAAATATCATCTTTCAAGCAACCCACTCCAACACTTATCCAAAAAAAAAAAAAGCAACCCACTCCAACAGAAAAATCTAAATGCCAAAAAACAAAATAGAGAATGTGAGGAGAAAAGTATACAAGGCATCATTGTCACTTGCCTAGTTCAATGGTACAAAATAAGACTTACAAGCACTTTCTGTAAAATACTGTCAAATGTTAGTTTGTCTCGGGTCTTTCACTCTTTCGTATAAACCGAGTAATGCACTTTTTTTTTTTTTAAAAGAAGAAAAAAAGGATATACATAGAGAAGTAATGAAACTTCCAGAAACATGCAAATCTCAAAGGATTACAATGACTGAAGTCACTGAACAACATTAAATGCTGCCAGAGGTCAATTAGAAATGAAGCATGTAAATGCAGACCAGCTGGTTGGGCCATGAGAACTATATGTCAGGCACTCCAAAAGGTTGTCTGTGGAAAACCAGTATTTACCAGACAACTGTGCATTTTCATGATACAACCTCATTCTAACGACCATTTCATGTGATTACATCAAAATCTACATTGATTTTTATTAACTTCTTCTTTTTCAATATTGCATGTTTTTTATGTTTCGGCCTGGATGCCAACCAGACTCTGAATTAGCTTATTTGAACTGACTCCGTATCTGGAAAACAAAGGAAGTTACTCCACTTTCTTATCAGATGGAAGTGTCTTTAGATCTTCCATTCAAGTCTTTTGGTCAACTGGTTGATCTTCCATTCAAGTCTTTTGGTCAACTGGTTAGCTCAAGCGCACAATAAGTATGATCAAGCATGAATCATTAACAGGAATGAAGATCTCACAAGAAGTTCAATTTAAACCCACTCGGGATTCAATGGTTCTATTTTTTCATATTTCTTCCCGACAACCTAAGTTCCTTCTGAAAGGTGATAGAGAAAGCATTCTCAGTGTGGAATGATTCCCCTTTTGTTGCTTGGTTCCTCAAATCCATTATAAGACCTTACATTATTAGTGGAACAGTTGAGCCAGGAATCTGCAAATCATACTCCCTATGAGCACATTGTAGTAATCCATGTTTCAATCATGGTTACATTGACTCTCCTAAGGCGAGAGAAAAAACATAGTTAGTGTGGAATGACTCACCCTTTAGTTGTTTGGTTCCTCAAATCCTTTATAATACCTTACATTATTAATGGAACAGTTGAGCCAGGAATCTGCAAATCATACTTCCTATGAGCACATTGTAGTAATCCATGTTTCTTTTTCTTTTCTTTTCTTTTTTTTTTATAAATAGTAATCCATGTTTCAATTGTGGTTACGTTAACTCTCTTATTCAGCCCAAGATACATGTGTCAAGACAGCTATATGTGGGTGCGTATGGGTACGGGCATAGTTGTTAAAGGCTCAAGACACAATAAGGCACCAAAGTCTCCTAGAGCCTAAGCACAAGGTGCAACATAAGGGTTGAGCCTAATCGAAGTAAGGAGCATTTGTGATAAAAATGCATATTAAATATAAGTATAAAGAGAGTTGAAAATTAAAATATACAACACAAAATGTAGAGATCAAAATAAAGGGATTTTTTAGCATATCAAATGAATGGATTGGCTAAAGAAATATATATATATATATCTCTTTCAATTTGCATATGAATTCATTAAATCAATGTGCAATCAAAATAATTCAAGTTATGCAACACGATTAATTAAAATTTTTATAAAAGTGGAGTTCAAAATGTCAACGAAAAGGGTAAGTAAATAAATGTGAAAAATCCTTCAAATATGAAAATGCACTAACCAAATCAAATGCCATTACAAATGTGCAAAAAAAAAGGTTATATTATCATGTATATTTTAAACATATACCATATTATCATAACTATCTTGAATCAAGCGCTTGATGCAATTAATGTTGGCATAGAATCATATTCTTATGAATTTCATCAGAGATTTGATAAGATTAAACAATATGATACATTGAATATGATTATAATAAGATATAAAATATGTTAATTAACTGTCATTAATTCACATGCTTAGTGATACCAAGCCCCTACTTCTCAAAGAGAGGCTAGGGTTCATGCCTTAATGGAGGCATGGTGTATGAGTACCCAAAAAAAAATAATAATAAAAAATTAATTGTCATTAAAAGAATAGGACCGAATGAATGATTGGAAAATAAAAGGCATGCTTTTATGAGCTAGGAGCCTACTAAAAAGTGTGAGCTTGACTCAAGGGGCCTGGTGTCATAGGGTCCATCCCACATCAGATAGGAATGGGGAGGATCTTAGGCTTAAAAGAGCAGGTAGGAAACTTGAGGGTTAGATGGCAAGTGCCCGACCTGTTACAAGTGGTATCAGAGTAAGACCCAATCCCTTAACTGGTGTCATGCCAAGTGCCCACACAGTGGTACTCAAGTCATTACTAAGTCTCCTTGTCGGTAGGATGGAGGGGTAGGACCACGATTAGGGCGTCGCATGTTCACATGGGGGAGAACGTCCATGTGTCTGTCCCATATCAAATAGGGATGGGGAAGTCTTGGACTTAAAAGGGCTGGGAGGCAGCACCACCTAACAAGTAACAGCTTAAGTTTTTGGGACAGATGGCAAGCGACCGACCAGTTACACTGCCTATAATAGGTTGAGACAACCCTTGATAACAAGACGCCAAGGAGTGCCTTTTTAACGGTATTGGGTATGGATATGTAATGTTTGTTTTAATCACAAACTCAAATCAAACATGTCGACCCCACATGTGAAGATGGAGAAAGTAAAAATTCAAAATTGACAGAAGAGAAGATTATCACATGGAGATATTGATGAAAACCCTCCTTTTCTAACACCACGTCCCACTAAAATTTAAACTAATCAAGTATGTTATATAATAATATCATATAACATGTTATTTATTTATGTATAGGACGTGTCCATGAATTTGTAGCCAACATTGGCCAAATTTCAAGACAAATATTGTTTTACCACAAAACAGGACAGTGAAAATAAAGAATCATATTGATTAAGTCGGCCACTTTATGTATCTGTTATTTCCAAACACTCTTCTTTCTTTCCAATCCCAAAAATCCTATGTCATGAGGTTTAGTAAACCTTACTCACAATTATAATAGCCCATAAATGCTGGTATCTCATCCTTCTCATTCCACTTTAATCCATGCAAAAATCATATGTGGACCTCACATTAAGGACTGAATGACCCTTTCTCCCATGGAATAACATTGATGATGTTATGTAACTGAACTTATGAGTTTTAATACAAATTTATTCTAGTTCAACAACCAAGCGAAATAGGAAAGTTTCAGGGTTTTATGAAACCCATTATCTTTTTACATCATCTTGCCCAAAGTTCAATAAACTCTCATGTACAACCAAGTTTTGAGTTCATCAGCATATAAGTCATCCAAACTAACTAAAAATTCTTTTCCATAGCCTTTCACTCACTATAGTCATATATCATTTTACAAATGTAGTCTTTTCCATTACAACCCCAACCCTCCACCCAACCCCTCCCCACAACAAAAATTTTAAAAAAACAAAAAACAAATAATGGAAAAGAAATGAAAATATTTTTTTAAAAAAACTGCTATATTTATATACATGATACAAGGGCTGCAACTTGGACGGGCTAACCCAACCCAACCCAACCCCAACCCAAAAATTTTGAAATTGGGGCTTTAAATTCACAAATCGGGTTCATGTTCAAGTTGGGTTTTGTCAAAACCCAAACATATTCAGGTTGGGCTAGGCTCAACCCGAACCCAACCCAAAACTCAAATTAAAAATTTAAATTTTTTTTTTTTTTTTTTTTTTTTTTTTTTTGTTTTTTTTCTTTCTATCTCTGCCCCCGTCGCCGTCCCCTCTGCTGCCGCCGCCGTCGCCCCTCTTACAGACCAAGATTAATTGATTTGTAAAGCAAGAATTACGCTCTTACAGACCTTGATTAATTGATTTAGAAAAAAAAATTAAAACAAAACACATACATACAAGTTAGCAGTTGCCCGGGGGGGGGGGGGGGGGGGGGGGGGGGGTGAGGGGGGCAAGCTTGAGAGTTGAGAGACAGTGGCTGAAGCTTGCGAACAGCAAATCTGAACTGGAATAGCGGGCGATAGAAACTGAAAGATACGGGTTTTGATTTTATGAACAATTTGAAATGATATGCCGATATGGGTTTTGAACTTTTGATTCTTGCATACAAATAGATAAAAATGAAATATATGGGTTTTGAACTTCTGATTCTTGTAAACTTTGTAGTTTGCAATTGCCGAGAGAGACAAGGGGGCAAGTTCAGAGAGAATAGAGATGGAGGCGATTGGGAGGCTGAAATGATTTGCCCAAAAAAGTATTTTGTATTTAAAAAACAATATAATCAAATATATATAATATGCGTAGTATATGAATTCTGGAGAGAAAAAAAAAAATCTCAACCCGTCAACCCTACCCAGACCACCCGAAAATATTCGGGCTGGGTTTTGACCATAGCCCATGTTGGTTATAATTCGGGCTGGCCCAATCCAACCAGATTCAAGTTGAGGTTGGGTTGGGACTGGGCTGGGTTGGGCCAGCCCAACTTGCAGCCTTAGATATAACAATAAAAATTCAAAAAAACATGCTTTGACCGTCTGACCAATTAGCCATGCCTCAATTACAATTGCATTAAAAATATATATATATGAATGAAACAAGAAAGTCTCAATCGAACCATTTGAGACAACATGACCCTTGTTCAAGCATGACCATTATAACGGTGTGTGATGTTATGCTTTTGTTTACCAATCCTAATCTTGAGTCATAGCAGTTAAACAGTCAATTTCGACAGTGAGCATTGAAACCAATTTTTCAAAAAATTTTTTTTTTTTTTAAAACAAACTATTCACTTTAACAGCGTTGAGAGTTGAGAGACAGCGGCTGAAGCTTGCGAACAGAGAATCCGAACTAGAACAGCGGGCGATGGAAACTGAAAGATACGGGTTTTGATTTTTTGAACAATTTGAAATGATATGCCGATATGGGTTTTGAACTTTTGATTCTTGCATACAGATAGATAAAACTGAAATATATGGGTTTTGAACTTCTGATTCTTGTAAACTTTGTCGTTTGCAATTGCCGAGAGAAAGAAGGGGGCAAGTTCAGAGAGAATAGAGATGTAGTCGATTGGGAGGCTGAAATGATTTGCCCTAAAAAGTATTTTGTATTTTAATAACAATATAATCAAATATATATAATATGCGTAGCATATGAATTCTGGGAAGAAAAAAAAAATCTCAACCCGTCAACCCTACCCAGACCGCCCAAAAATATTCGGGCTGGGTTTTGACCATAACTCATGTTGAATACAATTCGGGCTGGCCCAACCCAACCAGATTCAGGTTGAGGTTGGGTTGGGATTGGGCTGGGTTGGGCCAACCCAACTTGCAGCCCTAGATATAACAATAAAAATTCAAAAAAACATGTTTTGACCATCTGACCAATTAGCCATGCCTCAATTACAATTGCATTAAAATATATATACATGAATGAAACAAGAAAGTCTCAATCGAACCATTTGAGACAACATGACCCTTGTTCAAGCATGACCATTATAACGGTGTGTGATGTTATGCTTTTGTTTACCAATCCTAATCTTGAGTCATAGCAGTTGAACAGTCAATTTCGACAGTGAGCATTGAAACCAGTTAAACAGTCAATTTCGACAGTGAGCATTGAAACCAATTTTTCAAAATTTTTTTTTTTAAACAAACTATTCACTTTAATGCCATTCCTAAAATTAAGATCCAGTAAACTTAGATAAATTTGGACTCTAGCGGTAATCCTATAGATGAAGAGTAAAAAATACTAGTTCAAATAAGTTTCCACATTGGAAATACTGAAACAATATTTTTTAAAAAAATTATGGGGGTGGGGGCGCAACGTAAGGTTTTTTTTTTTTTTTCAGAAACCACCATTAATAATTATAAAAAGGGACCTACAAATTGTGTTGAATATGTACAATTGTGTCGGTCTCCATGCAACCAAATTGTGTTGGAGTAAATTGCTTCATCAAATATTTAAAGTAGAAAAATCTCTAATGCTTAAAATTCTCACTGATCTTTGCCACATGTATGCAATTTCCCTATAAAACATACTGGCATTAGGAGAATTCAAAGGTCCAAGAGCTCGGAGCAAGAGAATTCAAAGGTCCAAGAGCTCGGAGCAATTCCTCACACTAAAATTAAAATGTGATAAAGTTAATGGACCACATTATCAAAATGAGTGTCCTATTTGTTCTACTTATAATGTGCTCATTATACCTAATCAGGCTATGATCTTTCTAACTCTGAGAAACCCTAAAAGTTCTAAAACAGAAAACAATTTTCTTGCATCCAACTAAAGTGTTATCGAATGATTACTTTGTGGTGTCCCAAATCGTAGGATATTCTTAGATTACTTATTGACCACTCCACATTCCCTGCTCTACTGCAGAAAGAGGGCATCGCCCTCTTCCTTATATCATTAATTCCATAAGACCGAAGACTAGCCCGCTAACCCTTCTGTCTCCGTAGCTGCATCTTCACACAAGACAAGACGGGTTGAGTGATCAATCAACTGGGGCTTCTACCTCTGCTCAAGAAAGCAAGCGATCTATAAGGATGACCTTTTATCATGAAATTGATCTTGATGCTTTCTTTGTTGAATAATACTGATTTTTGAAATATCCACAATGTCCAGTGAATAAATACATTGTTCCCTCCAGAACGTACCGGCATCCCCAAAACACTAAGAGCCCAAAAGCAACTCATCACATTAAAACTAGGGTGAATGGATTTACCAGGCCACAACCTGGAACAAGCACAACCCCAAAAGGGAGAAATAAAATTGAACCACAAGTTGTTCTTAAATTTGCATAATATGCCATGAAGTCCTTATTAAATACTAAATCTAAGATCACTAATTGTAAAATCCCCAAAACCGAACATAACTATTTTGCAACTCTTCAATGTAATATCAAGAAAAATAACAGATTTTGAAATCTTTACAATGAAAAAATAAATAAATAAATAAAAATAACAGATTTTGAAATCTTCAATGTAATATCAAGAAAAATAACAGATTTTGAAATCTTTACAATGAAAAAAATAATAAATAATAAATAATAATAAATAAATTTGAATCCCAGATCACAAAACAGAATTAACAGAAAAATAATTAAAGGGTTCAAAAGAAATGTGATTCATCAATGAAATACACAATTAAAGGGCACTATAATCAAAAGTACATAGTCCTCTCATTACAAAATTTCTAAACAGAAAATAAATGATTTTAATGTATGAGCATAAAATCATTCTAAATCATAATGTAAATCGAGAACAAGAAGGTAATAATGATGGATAATTACGTGTAGGAAGCGATGACGATGAAGAAACACACCCAAGACGTTGAGATCTGAGAAACGAACCTCACTTACTCCCCCACTCACTCTCTGTGCCGATGTAGTGATGACGAGATGACCGGTTTGATTCCTGGGATGCTGAAAGAAGAAGCTGGAAAGCAACCCAAAGAAAAAGAAGGATGACCCAGAAAAATAGGGATCGGATTCTACAACTGCGCGTGTAATGTGTATAGTGTGCGTTACTGTGTGTATAATATCATATACGTCACAATTGTAATAATTATGGAGTATTTGCAATATGGACAAATTCGGTTTCAAAATTTAATTGCTAATAGTAAAAATCAATAACTGATTATTTTATGATGCGAACGGCTTGGTAGCCAAAGCCCATGGTTGGGTTGTTCCCCAAAAATAAAAATAAAAAACGCTTAGGTGGAAGAGATTTTATTTGATAGAATATTTTTATTAGCTTGACATATTAATTACTCTCTTCCTTTCTAAATAGAGATATTCAATCCATTTAATATATTATTAAAAATTATTAAATTCTCTATTTTGAGACGGAATAATTAATATTAAATATTAATTTTTTTATTTTGAGATGGAATGAGTACATGATATGTTAGATCCATTCAATATATCTGCATAAAAATTTATTAGATAATGAGGATCATTTATTAGTTGATAGTCTAATTCAATTTTAAAACTAATACCTGTAAATTAAATAATAGTGTATTAAATATATTCTAATGGGTTCATTTTTTTTTTAGTCGGAGAATTTTGGATTGGATTGGAACTTGGTCCACATCTATCATAAGTCCATAATATCACACCTGTTGTGGGAGTAGACGTATGGTGCGCGGACTATGTATACCTGCAAGTAAGGCCTCTAATTTGGAAGGACTCCAATTTGAATTGCTATCCTTTTATAATTGCTACTTTAATTGGTTGAAAAATTAATAATAGACTATCATTAATATTTATTTCTATTTCCTTTTTCAATTATTAATTTTTTCGTGTATTTATTTATGTGTTTTTTTATTCAAATATTTATGTGTATATATATATATATGATTTTTTTTTTTTTAACCTTCCTGAGTGATTCAGGAAAGAAAGAAAAAAAAAATATCCTAATACATAGATAAATTCTTTTCTTTTTCTTTTCTTTCTTTCTTTTTCTTTGTTTACGTGTGTGCATGTTGTGAATGGATTACTTTCACTTTTCCACAAATTAACAAAAACTCAAATTCTGCCATTTAACTAAAAACTTAATTTCATAATTTTACTTCAATTAACACTTATTACAATTATGAAAACTTGTGTGTGTAATATATATATATATATATATATATATATATATATATATATATATCAACAATGGAAAAAAGTGCAAAGGAAAGAGTATAAAAAAAAAAAGGAAAGAATCTATTCGCATAAGTTATTATTATTATTTTATTTTCTCTTTCAAAAATCACTCAGCAAGGTTGGCCATATATATACACAAAGCAGTACTCCGTAATTGAAAAAGGGTCTTTTGTCATAAAGATTATCTTTTTAACATCTTAAAAATAGAAACACATATTAATTACAGTGGTGCTGATTGATTTCTTAAAAATAGAAACACATATTAATCACATTTGAAAGTTTGTCTAGGATTTATGTTCAAAAAATTTATCTTATTAATAAAAAGTCTCACATTTAAAGGTTTGTCTAGGGCCTCTCAAACTTTTGAGAATCTCATGTCTTGTTGAGATTTTATCTCTTAGAGTACAGTGTATGATTGAATTATTTATTCCCTGATTTAGAGCTAATTGGTAGGTAATTAGTTACCTATTTTAAGTAGGTCCTATTTTATAAATTAAATGTAATACCATTAGTGAAAATATTGAATATAATTTTAATCTCTATATTTTTTTACTGAATTTCAAAATGGTATCAGAGCCCTCCTTGAACCGTAACTGAACCATACGTTTGAATCTCTTCGAATTTATTTTTATTCATTGAACCATACACATACCCTTACACAACAGACCTATACACATACTCTTACACAGCAGATCCATACACATACACATATCCTTACACCATACCCATACCCATACAAATACAAATACGATGGACCCATCACAAGCTGCAGCCAAACTGCTGCCTGCTGCTGCCAGCGATCTGCCGTCGCATAGCCGAATCTCCAAACGACGATGCTCTCTATCGTTGCATCGCCGGATCTCCAAACGTCGACGATGTTGCCAAACCGAACCGCTGCACCTCGACTGCCGTCGCATCACCAAATCATAGCGTCGCCAGATCATCGCCGTCGCATTCGCCGGATCAGACCGCTCTCTGCCGTTGCTTCACCGGATCTGCTCCTTCCCTCACCCGCCGCCGAATCTGTTCCTTCTCCATCAGACGCATCCTCAATCAAAGCTACCATCATAGCCATTGTCGAATCGCTACTCTTCTCCATCGCAGCCGTTGCCGAATCACTACCCTCAAATTCGCTACAATGCATCATTTTCTTCTCTGCTCAAAACTCAATGGCAGTTATGAGAATTGAATTACTTATTTGAAAAAAATAAATTCAAAACCCTCTGTTTGGCCACAAGTGTAATACTATTCTAGTTTTGAATTAGTTCACAACTAAACCAGTTTTGTAACCTCATTTGAAAACTGGTTCTGTGATAAACCACTTCCCAAAACAAAACAAAAAATGAATGACAAAAATATTGAATCATTTGGAGTAGACAAGACTACCTACAAATGCACTCATTGCAACCAGATTGGTCATACTAAAAGTCGCTATTTCAAACTTGTGGGATATCCGGAATGGTGAGATCATCGTCGTTGGAAGAAGAATTCAACAAAGACCTCCACTGCAGCAGTTGTTAAGACAACAAATACTGGTGGTAAGAATTTCAATATTTCTACACATGTTGCTAATAGTGCATGGATAATTGATTTTGGTGCCACAGATCATATGACATTTGATTCTAGACAGGTCTTACCTCTTATTTCATCCTCACGCAAATTTGTTTCTACTGTCAATAGGACTTCGACCCCAGTTATTGGGGAAGAATCTTTGACACTCACTGATAATCCGCATTTTAGATTCTGTTTTAGTTGTTCCATCTTTAGATTCTAATCTTTTGTCAGTTTCCCAAATAACCACAGCTTTATCTTGTGTTGTCATTTTTTGGCCTGATTTTTGTGTGTTTAAGGACATCTAAACAAAGCAGATGATTGATTGTGGTATTAGGCGAGGGAAACTGTATTACTTAGACTTAATGTCCAAAAGTTCTAACAAGCTACGACAAGCATTGACAGTGGATGGTTCTGAGGGGGAGAAAAAAAATCTGAAATTTGGCTGTGGCATCGATGTTTGGGGCATGCTTCCTTTGGTTATCTGAAAAAAATTATTTCCTAGTTTGTTTGCCAAATGTGATGTTTCTAGTTTCCACTGTAATGTTTGTGAACTAGCAAAAAGCCACCGTGTTTCGTATCCATTATGTTTGCATAAAAGTCCACATCCTTTTATGCTTATACATTCTGATGTTTGGGGTCCGTCCAAAGTCATTACTTTAGGTGTATCCCATTAGTTTGTTGCTTTTATTGATGACTGTACCAGGATGACCTGGTTGTGCTTGATGAAGTCCAAAGGTGAAGTGAATTTATTGTTTCAGAAGTTTCATAAAATGGTTGAAACTCAATACAATGCACATGTTCAGGTTCTCCGTAGTGACAATGATGGAAAATATCAGAGTTTTGCCCTTCAGCAGTTTTTGGAAGCACGTAAAACTATTCATCAAACCACTTGTTCCAATATACCCTAGCAGAACGGGGTTGCAGAGTAAAAAAATCGACACTTGTTAGAGTTAGGTCGTGTTTCATTGATAAAAGCGCAAATGCCATTATCGTATTGGGGAGAAGTACTTACCTCTGCAGCATATCTCATCCATCGAGTACCTTCCAAATCTATTGCCTTCCAGACACCATTACAGGCTCTCACTAACGCAGTTGTTGCCCCAACCGTCCCAAATCTACCTCATCATGTCTTTAGTTGTGTAGCATTTGTACACCTCCATAAGCATCAACGCAACAAGCTAACTCCTCGAGCATTGCGATGTGTTTTTCTCGGATATGCTCCTCATCAAAAGGGGTATCGCTGTTATCACCCTCCCACTCGACGAATGTTTATCACACTGGATGTTGTCTTCCATGAAGACTCGATGTATTTTTCCTCTGCATCTGAACTTCAGGGGGCATACCAGAACGAAATTCAGACTCTAGATTATGATTATCACATTTTTGAGGATGATGATTCTAATGTTAATGACTCATAAGTTGGACCAACCAATCAGGAATCAGGCAAATTGGATTCGAGTGGTATCAGTTTAGATCAAAATGGTGATGAACGCCCAGAAATGGAAAATGAACGCCTAGAAATGGAAAGTATGGTGCTAACCCCATCATCATCTGAGTTCGAGTCCCTCGCAACTGATATCTCAAACCAATCGCCTACTGAGGATGTTCTTGATTTAGTGCCTGAGCCACTCAGAAAAAAATTATCACAATGTCACACTAGAGGTATTCCTAAACCCACATATGAACCCGAACTTTCTTGGTAAAGTTAAGTATCCTAGGAGTCATTATGTGTCGAACCATCATTTGTTAGAATCAAATTTGTCATTTGTAAATCAATTATCTACTGTATCTATTCCTAACAGTGTGCAGGAAGCCTTAGCTGACCCTAGATGGAAAACAGCAATGAACGAGGAGATGAAATCCTATGGAACTAATAAACTTAGTTAACAGTATTTTTATGAGTATATAGGACTAATAAACTTGAATGGTGCAATTTGATTGATTTATATGGTATGTCCGGCGTACCCAATATCTGTTAGGAATATTTTAATAAAAAAACATAAATAATATTTAATATAATTATTTATTATAAATATTATTATACGGGTTATATAATATTTATATTAACTACATGAGTTAAATAATAGTTATGGGGTATATTATTTCAATCATTATAGACGTTACATATTTGACGGGATGAAAGCCGTTCCTATACGCCAAAATAATGTAGTGAATGTGCGGTTCAAGAAAAGCCTTTTGGGTTAAGATTAAATTTATAAAAACTACTACCAACACTACTACTAACGTAGCAAGAGTGAGTAGGGATCGTCCCAAGGGATTATACGTGTTGGAATTTAACTTTGACTCTAATGTATCACAAGATTGCAAAGAG